CAGAGCCACTATCTGGCATGCTGGGCTACTGCAAGCTGGACACACACTGCAGAATTCAGGGCCCTTGGGCCCCAATGAACATGGCAGCTGGCAGCAGGAGGGCAAGCAAGGTCTGATATAGCCCTGGTTTCCCTCTGGTTGCTTTGCCCACTACCACCACCATAGCGCCATACTGGAACTACTGCTGCCAAATACCTGATGCTGGAGCTCAAGTTGCTGCTGTGGTGCGGGGTATATGGCAGCAGCTTCAACTCCAGCACAGGGTACGTGGCAGGAGCTGGTGCTGTGCCGCATGCCCCTTGCCAGAGTAACAGCTGCCTCTGCTGCTACTATTTGCCCCAGACTGGAGCTAGAGCTGTTGCTGCTGCACGCCTCAAACTGGATTCAGCCTCCAAGAAGCCCTGTGGTCTGGATTTGGTCTAGGACACAAATGTGATCACAAATTTGACTCCCTTGCTCTATAGTATGAAGGATTTATTTTAATGATACTAGGAGCATGTTCCTTCATATAAGGACACCCTTATATTTAAGATACACCCAAACTTCCTGACTTCCCATTAAGGAAAAGGTCCTCCCCAAATTAAGAGATTTACAATGATACAGATTTTTTGAGGGGTGGTATAATAATTGCATAGAACGTATCCACTTCAAATTTAAGACACAGGCAATTTTTAGAAAATATATCTTTTAAAACGTCTTAATAAGAGGAATAAGGTAATCAAAGAATTTGAAGTTTACAAGTAGATAAGCAGCCAGGTTAATACACAAAGATTTAAAACCTTTGCTAATTAAATATTTTTAGGCTGCACTAAACAAAATAAAATCAAAGCAATTATACTTGAATACAGTAAGTACTGCAACTAAAAATATTTAGGAATTTCATTGTGTACTAGAATCAGCTTGTTTTTTATTGGGGGGTGGGGAAGGCACAGACCGATCCATAACAGGATCCGTCTTGTTCTTAAGTGCTAGGGGAAAGAATCTTTTGAGACTTTGTCAAGTATACTTACTCCCATATATCCAGAGAAGCTGCTCTGGAACGAGTGATCACACAGCCTTGCCCAGATTTGTTTCCTCCCAGAATGAAGTAGGCTGGAGCCAGTAACCTCGTTTTAGCCAGTTTCTCCTTTGCTTCTTCATAACTATACCACCAATAACAAAGGGCTGAATTAGCTTATCCAAGTTCTCTACCTACCCAGATACCCAAGGAAGTATTTTCCATAGCACCACATATACACAGTCTTACTGGATCAGGTGAAATTTAGTGGAATTGTACGACCAAAACAAAACACCCCTAAAAACCAGGCCATGCATGCTAAAGGAATACGTCTCAGTAAAAATTTGCCAGAGGCAAGCAATGATCAAATTTTAAACATGAACTAAGAGTCATCTGCTGTCTGCTAAACATTCTTTTTACCTATTGCCAAGATGGAGATAGAAAGTTTTATGACACATGGTAATACAGCTGTAGTCTCTCTAGTGTTTTATTGTAGCAAAGCATTATTTCCACTGGCATCCCAACATTGTATGGTATATATATATATATTTTTACTGTTAATTGAAGTATTTTAGTAGGATAAACTGCTACATGTTTAGAAGTCGTTAATTTAGTCTCCATTGAAGAATGGCTCTGCTAAAACGAAAAACGTACCAAACAGGAAGGAAGTGATATAGTTTGCTACACACTGTTAGGAACCTACTTATTTAGTGGTTTTGTGGATTTTGCAGAATTCGCAAAATCTGGGATTGTCTGCAAAATCAACAACAAAAAAATTAATAAAAAAAATAAAATGATGGCTCCCCAGTGGGAGCCAGCAGTCCTTGGTGCTGGCTGGCAGGATGGCATGAACGACAGCAGACAACAGGCTGCTGCCCCGATCCCTCCTCCCGCTGCTGGGGCCTCTCTGCCAATCAGTGCCAAGGGGTGGGGCCACACAAAAGAGCAGCCAGTCATCAAAATGGTGGCTGCCCTCTTGTCCCTCCTCCTCCCACCCTGGGGCCAATCAGCAAAAAGGGGCAGGGCCACACGAAGGGGACCCAGCCATCAAGATGGCAGCCACCCCCATGTCCCTCCTCCCTCCTAGGGTCCCTCCGCCAAACAGTGGCAAGGGGTGGGGCTGCCGCAAAATGCCTGTGAAATTGGCTCCGAGTGCCACGAAAAGCCCTCTGTTTCTCCACGATTTATGTAGGTCCCTACATATTGTTTGGCATGTGGAAGAATGTCAAAATAAGCAGATTTAGTGTTTACATTTCTCTGAGGACTCTTTTACAAATGTTAACTAGACGAGGATTTTGAATGTTAGTAGCGGCAGCACTACCATAAGTCATATGAAAACAGGCAAAATATCAAGAAAAAAATTGTTACCTTGTACTATTTTCTAGAACAGTCCTAGTGAGGAAGCCCATCCACATACCATCTCTCTTACCAAGAATCCATTCAAGGATTCCTGCAAAAAATAAAATAAAATAATTAGTTATAACAAAGGTGCAAGGATTTTTGTGATATCTTTTACTGGACCAACTGCATGGTTGGGACACATTTAGACAAGCTTTTTAACAGCTTATCTTCATAACCACACACAGTCTTTAGCTTCTCAGTGGTCAGACCATCTTACTTTTTGAGTTTTTTTACACACTGGACATAATCCAGAGCCTAAGCTTCCCTGTATTTCCTTTCTTTTATAGCCGTCATCTACCAACTCTTTATGCATGTATATTTTTCATAAATTAACAGCTGCCCCTAAAGTTTGAACAGGTTGCATATTCTAGAAACAGGTCTAGTTACTCACCAAGGTAGCCCCCATCAATACTGAAACGCTCATTCATTGTAAGAGTGAAAGCTCCCTGAGAAATAAAGAAAACAAGTTAATCCTCATGATAAAATAAAGAAAAAGCCAATCATCACATCAGTAAAAAGTTACATTAACAATGAATTTTCTAGGGAACATGCACCTAATCCTGTAAACTTGTTAATCATACATACTTTCCAGTGAACGTACCTTGGGTCAGATTCGTCCTATTGGGCACCTAATCAAATTAGATGCAGAAGCACAATTCTATTCCACCCTGTTGAAACACCTGAAACATCCATGAATGCATCTGCCTCTGTAACACAAGGTCATCTTACCCACAAGACTGAGTCATAAAAAGCTGCAAGGAGGAGGGGGAACTCATCTGCCTTTTGCATTAACTGTTTTCTCAGGGATTTGAGAATGTGAAATGCCATCTGGCCCCTTGGAACTTCTTACTTTGCTGTGGGTCTGATCTTGCAGTCTTACTCAGAGAACCCCATTAATGAATAGCTGGGTAAGCCAGAAGAACAAATAGAAGATCTATCATGGGGTTTGCAACTTACTGAAGCAGCCTGGCAAAACTGTGCTACTATAATTCAATGTAGGGCATTTTTTCTTCACACCAATAGATGAACATCAAAAAGTATTCAGGTTTAGTACTGTACCTACCACCTTTTTAGGAGTAGATTTATTGCCCAGCCTGGCACTAGACCTCATAAATGTTCCAGGTCTGAAGCCTAGTTTGCTTGGACTGATTTAGGTTAACTCTCAATGGGTGCATCTACACGTGTGTTTTACTCAGGAGTTGAATAATTAGCTCTGCAGTGAAGTGCCACCATCTATATGTGAGCTGGTATTATGGCACAGTAGACTGATTAACTCTGCTATAAAATAGTACTGTTGGGGACAGTACTATCTTACAGCAGAGTCATTAAGCGTGATCAAGTGCATGTGCAGACAGTGACAGCCGAGCGCAAATTGTGCTGGTCAGCCCAGCTAGCCGGGGGTCAGCCCCCCAGCTCCTGCCAGCCCCTCTGCCGCCTGATACTGCCACCAGGAATCCAAGGCTGACCCTCCCTCCACCCTCCCCCACCTCCTGCCAGCCTGGGGCTTCTATGCCCTGGCTCACATTGCTGCAAGCCCAGACGCACGTGTAAATGCTGTGCCCAGGAGCAGTTGATTCCAGCTCAAACTGCTCCAGAGAGTTTATTGCTGCACATTAACAGCACATGTAGATGCACCCACTATGTCAGGGGTGGGCAGTTATTTTTGGCAGAGGGCCGCTTACTGAGTTTTGGCAAGCCATCGAGGGCCGCATGACAGGCAGCCGGGGTAGATAAATATTAATTTTCTAAATTTTTTAGGGGCCCCGCAGGCTGGATAGAATGGCCTGGCGGGCAGCATCTGGCCCCTGGGCCACATTTTGCCCACCCCTGCACTATGTGCATCCACTGTAGTATTAAAATTACACCTTTAGCCTCTTCCCTACTCCTCCCATCCCACCCCCTCCTGCATGCTCAGATTCTCCAGCAGCTCTGTAATGGAATTTACAAGTAAAGCTTACATTCTTTCCAAACTGTAGACTTGTGAATTTGTGTCTTAAGCAAAAAGGAAAAGGAAATTTGAGAAGTGCAGGAACTTAGGTCGGAGTTGCTTCTGTATTTCCAATGTGCTGTGGTAAATGTAGGGCAAGGTGGTGGAGAGGGAAGTCAGCACTTTGAGAATCTTGGTACCATATTTATTCATACAGAAGACAACCCTGATTATAAGATTACCCCCAATAATTAGATTCTATATATGGAAAATTTATACATTTGTTACAATTTTTGAGGTAAAGAATCTAATTACTGGAGGTTTCTCTTGAATTTGTCCCCCTCCCACTGGTACATCAAGCAAAATAAATTGGGGTGGGGGGGTAGGTAGCCCCTTTGTTTTCTGTTTCCCCCCAACTTTTTCCTTTAGCAGCACCTTCCCCCTCTCTTTACTGTCAGACCCTGCTCTCTCTGAGTACACGGAAGTGAGAAGAAATTTGCAAACAATAACGTTGGAATTAAACATGGCTGTAGCCACGTAAGCTCCCTCTCAGACTCAGTCTGAGGCTTCAGATACTCCCCAAATCCATGGCAGGCATCCTACATACAAGCCGCAAGCCTGGAAGGTTTGGGGCTCACACACCCTCTGGTCTCACTTTCTTCTAGCCAAAAAGTTGGGGAACAAGCCAGAAGGAAAGCAGTCCCCCCCTTACCACAAAATTGTCCAGTCAAGTTTCCCACTTTGGGAAAACTTGCAGGGATCAGCCTGCTTGGAGAGCAATGGACAGGCCTCACCCTGGGAGAACTACTTTGTCCAGACTGCAAGAGAGGCCTCAACCTGGGAGAACCACCTTCTATCTCGTTAATCATGGTATCTCCAGGACAAACTTTTTTTAAAGGAAAATGTTTTGTGTTCCAAGTCAAATCAGCCAAGTCGATTCCAAATCTGAGAGTCATTCAAGAACCATATGTGGCCCTACTACCACAAAACATCCTCCACCCCTGCCTGGGCCTTCAGATGCTTCCAAATCCTTTGGCAGTCATCCTACGTGCAGGCCCAACCCCAGCAGCTTGGGGTTCAGATGCCCTGACCTTTCCTTGCCCTCAGCCAAATAGCCACAGGAACAAGCTAGGGAAGGATCTCCCATTTCCATAAAATGGATGTAAAGGCAAGATCTTCCCACTGGAAATGAAAGTGGGAGGTTAATTATACATTACCTCTGCTTGGGTACTACCCCTTGCCAGAAAAACTACCCCTTGCCTGAGTGACTAGGAAAACTCCCTTAGTGATTATGGTGCATCTTCCCTGCCGGCTATGCATGATATTAGTCCAAAGCCAAAGGTTCATAATTTACCACACAGTACATTGGGCAGGGCCCCACATGAGTCAACAGCATTTTAAGCCATGGGGACCCCACAGCTCAGCACTGCTCAGTATGTGTGTGTACTCCAGATTCCCCCCCCACAAAGGGTTCAGGTACTAATTAGGCCCCCAACTCATGACTGGAACTGGGTGTTCTTGTCATAAGTCCTGGGATCCTCCAAAAATTTATATGCAAATAAGGTGCAGGGCAACCTGGTCTGGCTCCACCTCAAGGAGGGCGGGGTCACATTAATCATGCGCTCCAGGCCAAGAGAAGGGGTGACAGGCAGCATTCACTCTAAGCTGTGCAGGCTTGGCTGTGGGAGTGAAGAGGAAATCAAAATGTATGCAATGTAGTGGCCCACCATGACTCTAAAAAAAGAACTGGTAGTGAAAGGGACTGCAGTTAATGGGTACTACCATGTGTCTTATTCAGATGGGCTTCATTAACCTATCCTTGTGGTAGGTTCCCATCAGCATTTTTGCCTCATGTGGGCCATGTGTTTTATAGTCATGCTCAGCATGGGCTGCATTTAAGCAGCTCCATAGTTGGTTTCCTTTACTGAGCACATGCTATTTTTAGCAGCAGTTTAATGACAGACACTATATTTAGTGAGGTTTCCTTAGATGTTGTTATGAGGGGCTCCCCCACCCCAATGTCAACTGGGGAAAAAAAAATCTTATCTTGTATTCAAGTAAATACAGTACATTTTATAATGTTGGCATTTAGGATGTAGTTAAACGACAGGTCTCAGCTGCTTATAAAAACAAGACAAGTCCACTTAAAATACAAGCCTCTATTTTTCAGGAGGAGAGATCAATACTTGAACACTTAAAAGTGTTCATATTCAAACCACTTCTCCTTATGGGAGGAACATGGATCTCATTTTCTGCTTGCCTGAATTAATAGGGAAAATGTATATGTAAAAATACAAATTAAAAAAAGAAAAGTCAGCAGCCACTCCTGTCAATTTTATTGCTTAGCCATGGTTTTCTTTTAAAAGATTTCTGTCTTTGATAATGTAGTATTACAAGTTTGAGGTGAAGTTTCTTTAGCTGTAAAATTTAGCTCCCAAATTTTCATATTTTATTTGGGCAACTGTGTAGTAGCACTGCCAGTAGGAGTCCTTTTTCTTTTGTTTTGTGAATGCATACAGTCCCACTGCATCTGGGGAGATTAATGGTGGCAGTTACAGAAGTTATGCACAATTTTAGTTATAAAAAGACACTTGATGGCAGTCTCTGAAGCAGTCTGTTTTTATATAAATATTTAAGTGGTCCTTAGAAGAAAGGCAACTTGTGTTATAAAAAGCACATTCCTGGCCAAAAATTGTATTTTAGTATTGCAAGTAAGGAATACTTACTGGTCTGACTCCAGATAACATGCCTATGTACCCTGCAAAATTTGCCGACCTAAATAGTGTTTTGTTGTTTCTTTGGAATTCGAGAGCTACCACTAAAGGCTTCAGTTGCTGAGTTACAGTCCAGGAACTATTTTTTATATCCCACCTAGAAGAGAGCACAAAAATCTATTTGTTTGTTTGTTTTTTAAACTACAGCTACCTGGCTTATTGCTGAAACTACAAGATACAAACTTCATGACAGTGATCTGTATCCTTGTAACAAATGCTCTTAATTCTATGCTCGGAAGTGGCAAAAAGACAAAAACAAAACAAACCATGGAATTAAGATTATTTAAAGCACAGATGATTAAGCTTAATGGAGAAACACATTTATTAAATTGTATGTGGTTCATTAAAAACGAATACTTCTCCTGTTATCCATTGTTAAACAACTTTTTACACAAATCACCTCACCCAGTCTAATACTCCTTGTAATTCCAGGAGCTACTGAAGTTTCAGAAGCATCCATAAACTGTATACCTCTTGGACAAAGAGCAGTCAAATTCCCTCTTTCGGGCCAAGATTAAGTTGCAGGCAGTGCTCCGCCAGCTCATTCAAGATACCATATACATTTGTATAGCGCTGAACAAGAGAACCCAAAGAGCCACAACATGGTCTACAAAGTTCTTTGGAGGAAGCTATTTTATTAGTCTGGGTAAGTTAAAGATGGTGCTGAGAAGTGTCAATTAAATGCATTAGAAATAACAAAGAAATAACAAAGAAATTCTAGTAATAATGTCAATACATTTACTACAGTTAATTTGGGGAAAATGTCCATAAGAAAGGTTAAGAGGCAGTTCAAGCAACTGAGTAAATCAGATATTCAATGGACAGACACACTAAATATTAAACTGTAAATGCCTACATAGAACTTAGATACTGAAACAAAAGAGAGGGAGATCTAGAGTGAAATGTCACTGACAAAAATATACTTATAATTTCAAAGATGTAAATGAATGGAATACCAGCATCCCTGATACGAGACTGCTGGGAAGAAAATCAGCACTAAACAATGGAATTCATAGACTATTCAAAGAAATTTCAAATACAGAGAAACTGAGATAGAACCTGTATGGATACAAATACCGGATCTTAGCTGGATAGTTAGCTGGATTCTGCTTGCCCAATGTCTGTAGATTGGGGCTTTTTTAGAGCTTCGATCTAATAGCTGATTGAATCAGTTTTAGACGAAAGCTCCAAAAAGCTCCTCTGAAGCACCTGAGATAGAGACACTGTGAAGTCAGGTCAAAGTAATATACTGCTTTTTCCAGTAAGGCATTTCTTTTTTAAGCATCTGCGAGCAGCTTATGTGTCTCAGTTATTAGGGCCATATATAACACTATATGAGTTAAGCTATTTAATAAAAAGAAACTGCCAACAACTTGAAAGTATAGGAACAGCCAGTTAAAAACACAAAACAAAAAAATCATGTTAGAATGCACCACTGACTCTGCTTGCGAAAATAATTATAAAACTCATACTTATTTCATATATAATTTATGGGTCATTGTTTATACAGTTAACTATTTGCATTGTTCTTATATCAGATAGTGAATATGGATTCAAATTTCATTTCTAATCAATTACTTATATGACAACAGCAAACAGAACAGCATTTAAGCCATTTTTAGGCCCCTATTTTAATGCATCCTATTTTGTTTGTAAACAGGATAGACTCACATGCCAATACACTTACCCAAGAAATAGTCCAAAATCTAAATTTCTAGCATGATACAGCTTTCCTGGATTAAGGAAAAAAAACAAAGATGGAGATAATTAGGGCTCTGAGTAAATCAGGAAAGCTGAACAGGGATTTAATGCAAACCTATGGGCATGTTGCATGCAAACGTGGATGCCAAGAGAAACCATTCTGGTTTGGACCTAATAAAATAAGCCTGCCAGGATAATATTTGAAATGGACATTTCAAGTTGCTCTTTTTCATATTTTAATATTTTCTAACTTCAAAAGATTTCTCATCCCTGAAAAATGATAGCACAAGGGTTGTCAACTTAACAATAAGATCTCAATTAGCAAACAAACAAACAAAAAGATTCCACATACCCTGTGAAGGACAATTTCCTAGTAAGTTACTAGGAAGATAGGCATATGTCCTGGGGACACACTTGTTCTTAACATTTAAGCAGTCCCACACACCCTCCTAAAATGGCACTGTTATAACAACAACCTGACTGACTGCTGAGTGAATTAAAAATGCTATAATTTCTTGGATACTTAAAACTGGTTTCAACTGTTCCACTATATTTGACTTAGGCAGTTATCATAGGATTAAGTGTGTGTGTGTGTGTGTATATATATATATATA